GGCCTGGGTTAGAGCGTGGGCATCATCTGTGACTTTAAGGATCAGCTGGGACCAAGAACCACTTAAAATCTTGCCGGGCCAGCCGATGTCAAATGCCAACACCGGGGCCCCATTCTGGCTCTGACTGGTCTGGGGTGGCCCTGGCACTGGGGTTTTTTAAGAGCTTCCAGGGGATTCTAAGACACAGACCAGGCTGAGATCCTCTGGTGTGGACTCTTTCAGAAGAGCAGACAGAGGACTGACCAGGGTATGCATTACGCCCTGAGGAGACTCAGCGTTTGGGGGACAAAGCACCCATACGGGCATCTGTTTAAGTTCAAGTCTACGTACAGGTTGTATATACACATACTTGTACACACACCATACTGTGTCTACACGCTGCGTACACACACACCCAGTGTGTACACACACAGCACGTACATACACACCCCCCCACAAACCTCAGGAAACAGGACAGGGCCCAGCCACTTCCCCCGCCTCCTCTCACCTGCACGAAAGACCAGGAAGCCTCACTGTGGAAAGGTAGCTTTCTACATGTGGCCAACATTCTCCTTCTACGGATCCGGAAACGAAGCACCCAACAGGGGAAGACGCTTCCTGACCGTCCTCTGTACCAAGTGGCTGTTGTTTTCCTTAGTGGCCGGCAGCTGGCTGGGCCACGCCCGTGGACTCTAACTGCGCCAAGATGCCCTTGACTCACTAGGCTCCAGGGATGCCCCCCGACCCTAAGAGTGTCCCTTCACTGCCGGCACGGCCCATTCTCTTTGGCCCACTCCTCCTCGTCCTCCAAGTCCCAGGACAAGCTTTGTTCCCGCACCGGTTCACACACCCTCACATACCTACCCACTCCCTAACACGCTCACCCCTTCCCTGTGCCCAGGGCAGTTACACAGGACCCCTGTGCTCACACTCAGCACTTTGGGGACACTTGCCCATGACCACACCAATATTATTTGTCCCCAAGACTGTCTCCCTGGTGGACCCAGAGCTCTGGGTGCACCTCTCAGGCCCAGGCCTTGCATGGCTACCTGGAGGCACAGAGGTTTGATAGGACAATGAAGGCACCAGTCAATGTCCTTGCAAGGGTCTCTAGCCCTCTCAAACCCCTGAACTTGAGGAAGGTATTAGTATAACCAGCCTGTTCCCCGAGGTTTTAGATCTTGGTGATCAAAGCCATGGTCCTTCATCAGACACTGAATGGTGAACGGTAGTGGTTCTAGGAGGAAGGCTGGGGGTGGAGGGGCGGTTCAGATCCCCCAGCAGGTGAGTCTGGGACATTTGGAGCGGCCAGGCCCTTGCAGAAGGCTTCATATGACTCCACCAAGACACCAAACAGGAGCTGGTACTCACCAGGGTGGCTGAGCCACCAAGCACCCCTCTGCTAGGACACCTGCATTTTTCTAAGAGGCCAGCAGAGATGCCCACCCCGCTCCCCACACTCCCTCCATGGCACCAGATTTGGGGGTGCACAGGGAGGCTCCAGGGATTTCTGCATCTCCTGGGGATCTGCCACATTCCCAAGGGATTCTGCTCCGTGTTAGGTCTGGGTGAGTCTCGAATTCAGTGTGATCCTAACACCTGCTCTGTGCTGGGCACTGTGGACCAGGAAGGGAGAAGGTGACTTGGACCCAGAGCTTTCAGGAGCCCTGGGCTGTGGAGCAGACAATGCGGGGAGAAACGATGGTATAAGGCGCTGTATACCAGGTGCCCTGGGTCCCTGCCAGCTCGTCCTCAGACCCTGTCCCACAATGGGAGCCAGGCCCAGGGGGAAAGAAAGGAGGGATGGGGTGGGGTGGCCAAGCCTGGGGGTTGGGCACCTTGTAAGATCCATACCCCCCAGGCTTGCTGGTAGACCTCTCTGGTCACCTTGGGGACACTAACACCCTCTGGACTCAAGAGCTACACTTGACCCCCTTCCTTCTTGTAACTGTGGATCAGTCCGGGTGGCAGGGTGGTTTCCACTTCTTGGCCGAGCGGCTATCCTTGCAGCTGCCCCAGCAATTCCTCCTGCTGCCCCCTGTCCTGCCCCCAGTGATGGGCCGGGGCTGGCCGCTCACCTCCACCACCCCTGCCCTGCTCTGCAGCTGCTCACTAATGAGTAACCCACGCCAACAGGCTGTTTGTCTCTGCTGTCAGGCATGTTTCCGGATGGGGCTTTATTTTGGCTTCTGTTTTTCTCTGTTCTCAGAGAAAGAGATGGCTTCAACGTCATGGGGTTTTCCCAGCAATTAGCCTCAGAGCAAACAAGCAACAGACCAGGCTGAACAAGTTCCTTCCCACCCCGCCTCCATCCCCCAGTGATTCCTTGGTCAGCTGCCAGTCGGAGGCAGAGCTGGACGCAGGCCTCATCCCCTCCCCCACCCCAGCTGTGGAAGAGGGAGCCTTGAGGATAGGGAACTGGGTTGGCCAAGACCACATCAAGTTTACTCATCACTGGCCTTGAAACCACAAAGCCCTTTCCCCACCCTAGGGACACCCCACCCACCACCCACGAGAAAGCAAGGGGACAGCTTCCTAGGCCAGGCTGGCCCTACCCTGCTGTCCCTGAGCACCCAAGAGGCTGGATCCAGAAAACACAACGTGTACCTTCCAAAAACTCTCCATTTCCACCCACACGGCTGTCACTCTAGCTCTCATGAGACCCTCGCAGCAACATGGGGAATGGTGACCGCAGCTGTGCACAGTCTAGCAAGGAACGCACCCCTTGTCATCCTGTCCTAAGACTTCTTTTCCCTTTAAAGCCCACCCCACCCTCACACAAGAAAAAGAAAACCAGACACTCTAACATGGAAACATTCCCAAAAGAAAGGAAAATGGACCCTTTTGCAAGGACACAACACTGCATCCTTTCTCTATCAGCTGCCTTCACTACAAACCCTCTGAGGCATCAGGCCCAGTGCTCTTAATCCCACCTCGTCCTGGCCCAGCGGGCAGCAGCGGCGAGAACAGGACCTGGCATGAGAACCTTGAGGCCAGAGCCCGGGGCAATCGCTGTCAGCTTGAGCACCCCATGGAATTTGGAGGGTTGGGGACAGCAGGGTTTTTCTACACATATGCAAAATCTTGGGGCAGCCCTGTCCTCTTTTTACGCTTCACCTTCCCTTCCTGGCCTGAATTCCCCTTTAGAGGAAGGAAGCTGTTACCGCCAGAACTGAGCCCATGATGCACAGTGACAAAGGGGCATTTGTAGCGGCTCTGGCAGGACCAGAGAAGGCTGGAAGGGAGTCCCCTACAGCCCCTTTAGCCACAGCCGAACCAGACTCTGTTCTGAGCACCAGCCCCCCGTGCTGTCTCCTCTTCGGCATCTCATGCTTAACCTAACCGGACCTGTTCCTCCCAATCTCAGATATCGGAACCGTCCATCCAGACCTGTAGTGATTTGGTCTCCCCGATCCTTGCCATAAAATGTCATCCACGGTGGCATGTCTCTGAAATCTATCTCCAGTCTACCCACTGCTGGCACTTTGTCTCCGCCCTCATCCCTTCTGGCCCGGGACAACACACCGACCTCTGCCTCCTTCCAGATCCTCAGATGAGCCAAGCTCTGGGCCACCGCACGCTGTCCTGCCCATTTCCTGGGTCCTCCCAACCCTTCCTCCTCTTATTGGGGCCACCTTCTTTGTGCCCTGCAGGCCCCAGCTTCAATGCCAGCCCCCAAAGCCGCCTTTCGCGCCGTCTCATTGCTCCCTTTCCTTCTGAGCACTAACCATCACCTGACGCTGTCTATATATTCTTCGTTTCTGTGTTTTCTTGGCTCCCTCACAGGCTCTACCCCCATGGGGGGGGCGGGAAGAAGGGCCATATATGAACCTTTGCTGCTTGCACAAGGGCTGGCCCATCAAGGACTTTACTTTGTTAACAAGCAAACCTCTTTACAATGAAATAAAGAGGAAGAGAACTCCAGGCCTGCCACGGCCCCCACCCTTCCCAGGTCCAGTCCAGCCTCACAAGTGGGATGCCCAGCGTGATCATGCAGACGGGGCAGCATCAACCCTAGGGGCCATTCTGATGGTGGACTGTGGGTACAGTGCCCCACTGGGCAGCACACAGCCCAGGAGCCATAGGGGACAGCCTCACCTGAAGGTTCTGTGCACACACCCGCTTACGTGGTGCCCAGGACCTAAGCAAGGAAGCAGGAAGGAGCCCAAAACTCTTCCGGATTCATGGAGCCAGAGAGGACAAAGGGATGCCATTGCCCTGGGACTCTGGTTAATGCTATGCACGACTAGTCTGGTGGAGTGGACCCAGCAGCAGTCCTGGGCCTCAGTGGGAGGGGGGATGTGTGGCTATAGCCTTAAAGAGCCACCCAGCAGGGCAAGAAGGCTGTGGGTGGCTAGGGTGAAGGAAAGCCAGGAGGAGATGCATCGTTTTTTTTTTTGACAGGGGCGGCAAAAAGCAACTGCAACTGACGTTCTGGCATTCGCTGTGGAGCAGTCCACTCTGTATCTGTGTCCCTAAGGGAGCCACAGAGCCAGGTCAGCTGCGCCCGAGAGAACCGCAAACAGAAAAACAAAACCTGAAGTGGGAGGCTCGTGCCACTGTTCACACAGAAGGGGACTCTGGTTTCAGAAGCACTTCCCCAAGAGTCCCTCTAAAGAGCCAAGCCCTCACCACTTTCGAACATGTGTTTCATTTCCCCAGGCTCCGTGTGCAAGCAGCTCTTTAAGGAAGATACTAGGCACGGGCAAGGAACATAGCTCCGGAAGAAAGCCCAAACACGGGCAGTGAGGCCCTCAAAAAGCCTCTCAACAAACACATTTCTTAGCACTTAATAATTGCTCAGGAAAACCTACTCATTATTAATCGTGAGATAAATAAGAATGAAATTTATTTAATGCTTCAAAAGCCTAGGCAGGCATCCCTGCTCCCGCCGTAGTCATGCCCAGCAGGTCTGACTGACTGAAGGGACCTTTGTCCTTGGGTCACAGCACACCTCCCCCTGGTGTCTATACCCCAGCAGAGAACAAAGCGTGGGGGATCACCCCAGTAATGGTGCTTACCTTGGTAAGACTCAGGCGAGGTCACTTCCACTTCTGTGTATTCTACATCCAAGGTCAGAGGCTCTGCTCAAAAGAACCACAGCACCCCACAGTTAGACAAAACCTCCTCCGGGGGCCTCCCCCTGCATTACAGATTTCCACTCAAATGACTGCAGAAGTCCCTGTTTCGAGGAGGAAGCTAGACACAGGCTAAAGTCTATTCATTCCAAGTGAGATGGACACCACAGGCTGGGGAAGACCCTGACAAGTCCCGCTCTCCCCAGGACGTGGGGGTACCCTTCTGCCCAGGTCCCCCCTTGTTCCCACAGGGGAAGGATTGTTAAAAGCTCAGGATCAGCCATGGCAGTTAACTCTGGAAGCGTATTCCACAGCCATAGGCATAGAAAACTATTTCCAAGAAGGAAAGAATCTCAGGAAATGGGGAACAGGTTTCCCCATCCTAAAAATGCTCTGAGAGCATAAGCCGTATGCATCGAAAAACAAGTCTATGAAAGCAGTTGGGCCGCTAGGGCAAAATCTGGTAAAATGGCTGGTCTTTAGCTCAAAGTCACATTATTGTTTTATTTTTGAAGCCTCAGAGTCAGTCTTTCTCACCAGCACCAGAAACTGATGTGTGGTTGAGGACACCGGTGTTTACTGTTTTAGATCTTTAGTTCTTGTGAGAGGACCCCGGAGGGGAAGCGACTTTTGCAAAATGAGTTAGCCCCATCTTTACGAGCTTTAAAGCCGCAGCAAGGACTCTATTGTTCATTGTCTTTAAACATTAGCAGCAGTGATATTTTCTATTTTTTATAGTGTGTTTTATTTTTATTAAATACTTAAGTATCAGAAAATATTTGTAAGTTATGCATAAAACACAAATAATAATAATAAGTAACGGTGTACCCTTCACCCTTTTCAAGAAAAATAACATTTTTATTACCCCTGAAGTATCCTGTGTGCCTCTCCCCATCCCCGACCCTTAATACTTTCCTTCCAGCCTAACTGAAGCATAAAAGACATGAAACCTTGTGTAAGTGTAAGGTGTAAAACTTGATGATTTACCCCAATGCTATTATAAAAAACACCCCACCTCTACTATCCAAGAGAAAGACGATCCTTCTATGGTGCCCAGTACACAGTTCCCTGTTATGTATAACCCAGCTCTTTCCTCCTGGAATTCAGGTTACTGTCTTTTTTTTTTTTTTTAAGACATTTTTAAATTTATTTGAGAGAGAAAAAGAGAGAGAGAGAGAGAGAGAGAGAGCAAGTTGGGGGGGAGGGGCAGAGGAAGAGGGAGAAAGGATCTCAACCAGACTCCATGTTGAGCACGGAGCCTGACATGGGGCTCAGTCTCCCAACCCTGAGATCGTAACCTGAGCCAAAACAGAGTCAGATGCTCAACCTGCTGAGCCACCCAGGGGTCCCTAGGTTACTTTCCAGTAAGGACACAAGATAGCACCTTTGGAGCAAATGACCAGCCACTTCCATTTTATACAGCAGCCAGGGACAGGGTCCCTGGGGGGTGAAGGGGAGGGTACAATATCCCCAGGTCTTAACAGTTTTAGTTCTTTCCTAGAGGTCTTTTTTTTCTATAAATGCTTCTAATTTTAAAAAAAAGCCAAAAACTTAATTTGATAATTACCTTTATTTTCATTTATTGGTTTCATTGCATGGTTTCCAACATCTTCATTGTAACCTAGTTGAAAAATAACAAAGAGGATGAGTGGCAACGGAAATCCTAGTTTCCTATATAACTTGTAAAAAAAACTGGGTGCCACTAACACACAGAGTCAAGTTTAACCTCTTTGGTGTAGTAGGCCACCAGCTGCGTAGAAGATTCTGGATTCCCTCCTCGCCCCACTATGGCCCTATCCAACCCCCAAGTGGTCAGTTTCTAACACCAACCATGCCCATCATTCCACGGAGAGATACTTCTGCTTATGAATTGTTCAAAATTCAGAATTGTTCACTTTGAGCAACCTCATTGGAAATGAAGCTTATTTCTAAAGGGGTGGGCCTGTAACCAGAAACATGAAGAACGCTAGCAAACTAACCGTCTCCAACCAGAGAGCTGGATGCAGGAGAACGTGGCTTAAAGAAATGGTGGTACCTCCAGGCTGCCACCTCAGTGGGTAAAAAGAACTTCTTAACTTTTTTTTTTTTTCCCATCAAGTTGTTCTTTATTAAAAATAATTCTATGGATTATAAATAACATAAATACTTCCGAAGAACACATGACTTTTCCATTATGTTTTTAAGTTAATTGCTTACAGTGATTGCTAAACTACTTCATAAAGTAAAACAATCCACAAAGAGACAATATAATTAGAGTATTTCTTGCAGTTTGGAAATGTGGGGGGAAATCCTATTTTTTTTAATTTAATTTTTTTCAGTGTTCCAAGATTCATTGTTTATGTACCACACCCAGTGCTCATGCAATACATGCCCTCCTTAATACCCACCACCAGGGTCACCCATCCCTCTATCTCTCTCCCCTCCAAAACCCTCAGTTTGTTTCTCAGAATCCATAGTCTCTCATGGTTCGTCTCTCCCTCCGATTTCCCCCAACTCACTTCTCCTCTCCAACTCCCAATGTCCTCCATGTTTTATCTTATTTTAATGTAAGTCTACATTAGCATTCAATTTAAACTATGTATTTACGTATAATACAAATAACCAAAAGACCCCCTCATACCACAAAAATGTACTTCTTCTGTAATGCTTACTTTTTGCTAAACAGTCACCAAATTTTTCTGAATGCAGTTTCTTATATGATATATTTGCTCTGTTTTCTTTACTGGTCCATTACTTTTGTTATTACAAATGTTTTATTCACTTTTTAGTAAGGATTATACCCCACTGTGTGTTTTCTTTAGTTCCTGTTCTATTTGATGGACTTCAGGAATTCCCAGGTTCTTCTATCTGTTTATTATTTATTTATTGTTTGTTTGTTTATGTGTTTATTTTTTTTTAAAGTAGGCTCCATGCCCTTTGTGGGGCTTGAACTCACCACCCTGAGACTGAATCTCACACTCTGCTGACTGAGCCAGCCAGGCGCTATTTTATTCACTTTTTAAAGGTGGATGATTTGGTAGTTATAAGAATTGCTCAGTTCTTAAAATATATTTCTCAAGTACGCCCTGCTAGAGGACTATCCTAAAATTCTCATTTTGCGGAACACTTACACAATTAGAAAAGAACATCAGCATTCTCTTCCCAGACCTGATGATAAAGAAAACTGCCCCCAACCTGGTCTGGGACAGGACTAGTTGCATGGGATAGTATTCTCTGCCCTGCTGGGAGCTTTCTCAGAGACCAGATGGGATTAAGAACTCCGGGATTGGCTCCCCACCCAACTGAGCAGGTTTCTAAGCTTGCCCCAAGCCTTATCAGGTACTCTTCGCTTGTACCACTTTTTTCTTTTAAATGCCTCCACTACAGAGAACTATGGAAAGCAGTTTTGGTAAAAGCTGAAAGGAAACTGTCTCATGCTTGTGATAAATAATTCCATCTGAGATCTTTTACCGATGACTTCAGCGGATAACATGCTCTCTCAAACTCTAACAAAAGGATAATGATTATACCTGGGCCATGTTCAAAGTTTTAGACGATAACCCAGGATGGGTATCTGCAGCCTTGTAATCATTCTCTACCTTTTCGTTCCCCAGCATGTTTAGGAGGTGGTGAGATTAGGGTAAAATGTTCTGCCTTTCTTCCTAAGTTTTTGTTTTGCTTATCAGCTCACCCTTCCACAACTGGTTAGATGAAGTGCCCCTGCTAGAGGATAGGGCCTCCCTTCCAACTTGAACTCTGTCACCTACAGATTCGGCTTCTAAGAGGGGTGAGGGAGTGTGCAGCCAGCTAGGGGAAAACACTTAGCAAGAAACCACGACTCTACCGTAATGTCTGTTGGCTTCAGTATTGGGATCTGACAACATCTTCTCATTGCTGGAGTTCAGAAGGGGAGCTGCTGGCCTTGAAATGAAATTTCAAAAGGAAAGAAAGAATATGACTTTTTTTGGCTCTAACTTCAAACTATGAAAACAATCAAGGAAAGATAATGAGAAAACCAGTTTTCTGAAGTGAGGAAAACTTTACTCTCTCCTGTGGAAAACTAACTATTTTTCCAGAAGGTTGATAAAAACTCTTTGCTGTTAAAATAAGTGTGAGGGCCCTCCCATACTGTAGCAAGCTCTGAAGAAGTAACGTTTTCTTGACCTCCTTTGGACGGTCTTCACTTATTTCCAGAATTGCTTGATTATTCTGTTTATTCCATTTATTAAATAGTCTATCGTCTCATAAATATTTGGCATACTAAAATTATCCTATATTAATCAAATACATACACACATATATCCTTGTTACTTTCACTTACATATAAATTACCTGTTAGGAATATATTCTTGTATGTATAGAAATTGTTTCAGATAAATTTCTGCCAAATTGAATATTATTGTATATTATAGTTACTATAAATATAAAATATTTTGCCTTAAGTAGTATGTATGATTTCATTATTGTTGATCAAGAGTATTATTTGCTCTCACACAATTTCTCATACACGTCAATATTAGCCTCAAACTAGAAATGAAAATGACACCTTTTAATAGTTTGCTTGGGAATCTGTGTAATTTCTTTTAATTTATATATAATATGTGAAACTTTTTTATAAATTCGGTATTTGGTGTTTGTTTAAGAAAAAAAAAAGTGTCAGGGCCAAGATGAATTCTATCCCTCTGAATTCTTCATCCTATGCTACTGTTTTTCTCCAGAACAGAACTATCCTTTCCATACCTTCGGATTTTGGATTTCAAGAACAGTAGAAACATTACCACTTTTTTTTTTTTTTTAAGGCCAACTCTATTTTGCAAATTACGCAAATTTTAAAAATTCCATCTATTACCAGTATAATTTCATAAGGAAAAAGGGATCTCACAAGGAACAGTATAGGAGGGACATGACCTCAGAATAAAGCCACTCTTTCCCATTGAAGGATAGTTGGCAATCATCCATGGAGCCAAAGACACACACATGTGTGCACACTCACACTTCCCTATGCTACTCACATCTAAGACCCTTATTTTTCTGGGTTTTCCAGGGGATACTGAAAACCCTCTAACGACCAGAATTTTCCTTTAGTTGATGCATGTCTACAGAGCAGCCACCTCCCTCCTAAATACACACACTGACCTGGACATCTCCACTGGTGTCTGCTTGGCTTTGAAAGAGAAAGAGAAAATCCAAAGTTAGTATAATGTACCCATGTTTGTATCAGATAAGAACACTCATCTCCACCATATTTGACTTCCTTGAAGATTGAACACCCATGAAAAGAGAAAAGAAAGCCAAATATATTCCGCTTCAAATAAAGAAGAAAAAAACAAATAAACAAAATAGGTCTTCTCTTGGTCTTATACCAAGAGATTTCACATCATTTCCTCCAGAAATACGGACATTTTGACTGTTTTAGCCAGGAGCGAGTTTCTTTAGTGGCACGTGGTGGAGATGAAGTCAAGGAACCAGGTAAGGGTAAACAGGCAACTCTTTCTTCAATTCAAGATGATTCCAAGAAGGAAAGGCTACATCAGTCCTTATTCTCTTAATTCCAAGCTGGCCTGAGACCTTAGCAAGGGGCTGGTTCTGGAGCCTGTCTTCCCAGAAGGGTTGCAGCTTTCTTGTTCTAGAAAAAGCCCAGGGCCCCGCCTCATCCCATCTGTCCCCACCCATCCCAGGCCGCAGCGCTGGAGCTCCAAAAGAAACTGCTGTACTCCACAGAAATTGATGCAGAATTTACTGGGGCTGTGTCCTTTTCCTTAAGTTCATGCTAGCTGACTGATTCCTGAGTGTCTGGGTGATCCTGGCTTCCTTTCCATGTGTGGTTAACCTCAAGCACAGGGTAGAAATCATGGCACAAACGGCAGATCAACTGGGAGGCATTCAGTGGATGGGGAGCTAGGCAGGGCAGGTCCCAGCTGCAGGACTGGGTGTGGCCAACCCCATGAAACAGTATCTTCTGACCACACCTAGCTACAACCTCCCCCTCACCACCGCTCCAATGCATCTTTTCTGGGTTGTCCAACTAGGAAAGCAGTTGCTTTCATTTGTGCCTAACTAAATCCAAAGGGCAATAAAAGCTTTTTGCCCACCAAAGCCAAAGTCTTCGATTATCAAGGTAACACCACAAAGAGAAAAGCAATTGTTCTCAGCTATATCTCCTTGGTTCCCAGTGGGGCAGAGCACCAGGCCTCCATGAAGCTGAAGCCCCTCCTGTCCATGGCCCGTTTCCTGGACAGAGCAACCTACCAGAATGGAATGAAAGAACTGTACTCACCCTTGGCTTTCTTCTGAAAATAACATCTGGCCCCAAGTATAAAGACGGCAATTATCACTCCAATGACAAATACTGCAATAAGTCCTTTTATCCATGGGGCAAGAAAGACTGGAAACAAAGAAAAAAAAATACACACACACACACACAAACACAGGTTTTTCCTCTGCCAGCAAGAAATAATACCAGGTTCAAGCAACAAATAAGACTAATTTTTATAGTCCTTGTAACCAGCATCTTACTTCTGAAAGACACTGTTCACAGCTGGCACAGAAATGTTCTTGTGTGTTTTTTGTTTGTTTGCAATAGCATCAGCTTAAAGGACCACTGGACTGAAGTCGACTCCTTTTTCGGGTCTATTCAGCCCTTCTCCTTCACTAGGAGACCACCTTCTACCCACTTGTGTGGGCTCCCCTATGTCCCTTCTGCATGACCTAATCCCCTTGGCCATAGGTAGTCCATGGGTGGACATTTGACCCAACATGGACCAACTGGTATCTCTTGACCAAGAATTTGGAATTACGACTATGGGAAAAGTTTCTAATTTTTTATAATAACCAATTCCTCTTTTATATAATGTGGATGCGTGTCTGTCATTTGCAACAAAAGAGCCTGGAGGACATCGGTCTCTTAATCCTCAGTGAAATGAGCTAAACAGTGGTCCGCCTCCTCTTACAAGGGGTGAGGCCTTGGCCTCACCCTTTGAGATCACACTATGTCCCCCTGTTTGAGACCCTGACTCACCTCTGACTGTCAGTATGTTGCTTTGGGGGCTGCTTTTAACACGATTGGCTCTGTTGAAGGCTGTGCAGTAATACCGTCCTTCATGCTCCTTGCTAGCCTTTGAGTTGTGCCAAATGGCCTGGGTTTCATTCAAGGTGGTTTGGTGGAAGGGCCTGGTCTCTTTTTCTCTGTAAAAACTGAAGGTGATTGGGCCAGACGCTTCATTCACGGAGCACCGAAGCACAACGGCCTTCCCAGACTCCACATCCTCTTTCAGCAGGATAGAGAGCTTGACCTCATCCACCGGGGCTGAAAGGCAGGGAAAGGGACAGTACTGAGAAATGGGGGAGGCGCAACGGACAGAACACGACACAGCACTGCTTAAGGCCAGCCTCCTGCTGTACTGTGACAGAGACTGGGGCTGTGTGTGCCTTTTTTTTTTTTTTCTATGCTAAATTTTACCCTTTTTTCTTTTTTTTTAAATTTAATTTAATTTTTTCAGCGTTCCAAGATTCATTGTTTATGTACCACACCCAGTGCTCCAGCAATGGCCACAGTTGCCAATGTGCAAAGAGCCAAGATGCCCTTCAACAGATGAATGGATAAAGAAGATATGGTCCATATATACAATGGAGTATTATGCCTCCATCAGAAAGGATGAATACCCAACTTTTGTAGCAAATGGATGGGACCAGAGGAGATTATGCTGAGTGAAATAACTCAAGCAGAGAGAGTCAATTATCATATCATTTCACTTACTTTTGTGTGCCTTTTACTCAATTCACCACCCTCATCCCACGTCCTTCACATCTCCCTCCTCCCTCAGCCCAGAAGGGCAGCAACTGATGCCTCCTGGAGACACCTCCCTTCACTTAGCCCCTCAAGTATTACTGACCACTCAGCCTGACACTATAGCTCATCTCTGTATCCTGTTGAGTGTGTGTGTGTGTGTGTGTGTGTGTATGATTTCCCTCCCTGTGCTTACAAAGATGTATGGCACTTCCAGGTCTTGTGAGTAACCTTGACCCACTATCTTTAGCTATTCTTGTTTTTCTACCTTCTCCTTTATGAATGTTCTAAACCAGCTGCTCTCACATCCTCATTTCCCACCTTGTTACCCCTGTCACCTGACTTCCATCCCTCTGCTTTGGAAACTGCTCTCCATCTCCAGTTTTGAAGAAACGGCAAAGGTCACCCGATCCCCTGACGATCCCCTCCCTGAGTCCTCAGCAGATTAATTCCAGTCCTTAATAGGGGTCCGTCCACTCTTCCCATCCAGAACCAGTGTGGCTTCCTCTGAGGCTTCTTTGATGTCTCCCAGCCCAGATTCTCTAACCTCCTCACCTGTCACTCCCTCTTTATTCACTAGTTTTTCTTCCTTTTGCCCCTTAAATATGGACTTTCTGCAAAATTCAGTCCTCAGCTTTCCATCTCTGTTCTCCTCTTTGGTGATTTCACCTACATCATAGCTTCTGTTCGTGCATTTAACACATAAACATAGAGCATTTAATGCTGAAATAGATAGCTCTAATCCGATTAGTCCCCTGAATTCCAGGTCTTGATTTTGACCTGGGTGTTTCCACCAGGAAGCCCTGCCAACCTGGCATTCTCAGCAGATCCAAGCAGAACTCAGTTTCCTCCCATATACCATTTCCAAGTTTAATTACCAAAATTCTGATCCTCAATTGTCTTCCCAAGTAGATCTTCATATTAGTGTGAGAATGGAATGGTCAGCCAACTGGCATCTGACTTATTTTTTATTCATTCATTTGAGAGAGAGAGAGAGAGAGAAAGAGAACAGGTGGAGGGGCAGAGAGAAAGAGGGAGAGAATTCCAAGCAGACTCCCCTCTGAGCTAGATGTGGGGCTCCATCTCACGACCCTGAGATCATGACCTAAGCCAAAACCAAGAGTCAGATGCTCAACTGACTGAGCCACCCAGACGCCCCTGACATCTGACTAGGAGATGAATCACCTCGAGCATGCAGTGGGTGGCCAGGCCATGGAGATGCCAGTACCACAAAAGGGAGCACCAGGCCTGAGATGGGAGGGTGGAGTTCAACCATAAGGGCAGAGTCCTGGAGGGTACCGCCTGATTTGGCAGTCTCTCTCCTGAAGCACAGTGGGGTGGTGGCAAACCAGCTTCAGGAGCCCGGCTGCCCGACCCCAATTCCCAGCCCCACTCCCCATCAGCTGTTCATCTTTTTTTTTTTTTTAAAGGTTTTATTTATTTATTTGACAGAGACAGAGATCACAAGGAGTCAGAGAAGCAGGCAGAGAGGGGGAAGCAGGCTCCCCGCTGAGCAGAGAGCCCGATGTGGGGCTCGATCCCAGGACCCTGAGATCATGACCCGAGCTGAAGGCAGAGGCTTTAACCCACTGAGCCACCCAGGTGCCCCTCAGCTGTTCATCTTAAGCCTTTGCTGCATCATCATAAAGCAAGGATAGTATTTTCACGGGTCTTACAAGGCTATTGTAAGTATTAACGGGGATAATTTACTAGACTACTTCACACTGGGATGCCCACCTGGTCAAGGTTCATGGTAAATGTTAGCAGCTACTATTGACCCAATTTAAACCAACTTAAACAGTTTCACATGGGCCTCTGCATTGACTTCTTAAGGTATTGTGAGATCTGAAGTCTCCACTTCTAAGAGATAGAGCCCCCCAGTTAATCTCCCCCAAACTCCATCCTCCTCATGACCTCCTTTCCTCTTCTGGCTCTTATTGCACACAGGACAAACTCTCAACTCTAGAGACCAGCATTCGATGCCCTTCACAGTTGAGCTCAGTCACATTTTCAGTTTATATCCAATGATTTTCCAGTCCCAATCTTTTGTTTCCAGCCATCTGATCTACCCAGTCTTTTAAACTATTCCATGGAGACATTTTGCTCATGTATTTAACTGGTTGGCCATTTCTTGACCCAGCCCTTTCTTGACCCATTGTCAAGACCTGGCTCCCAACCCAGGTCTTTGGATTCAAGCTAGATGATCCCTTTCATGCCCTGAATTCCTATCACCATTGTTGTAAGGATAGTTCATGTGACAATCATGGGTTCCCTAGCAGCATTTTTTTTCTATGCTTACTTGCACTGTCATTCAAGTATACTAAACTATTTCTCCATTATTTAATCAGGACATCCTGTGTTTCTTGCTATGTCATTGAAAACAATATGTTTTCTTTTTTTGTATGCCCTATAGCATTAGATGCTTTATATATATTGATATTAATTTGAAATATATGGCTCCTTTTGGACCATACATTAATAGAAGCAAGAATCTCTAGCCTACTTAAGAGGTCCACAGTGGAACCCGCAGATAGGCAGTTATTAAACAAGAAGGAGGAAGAAGAAGGAGAAGCCTATTAGGCTTTTTACAAAAGGATGTGGGATATCTCAGAGATGCAAACAATGGTGGTCCTGAGGCCTTCTGAGAGATGACAAGTCAGAGGCTCAATGGAAAATATCCACCCCAGCACAAAGGTCTATTTCTCCTGAGTATGACAGTGTCAGTCCCATGAGACCACAGTCTGCAGCTCTCATGGCTGCAGGTTCTCCACATGATGGAGTCTTCAACCTCAAGGGTCAACAGCGGAGAAGAACTCCGGTCTACAATTCTCAGAGACGGTGGTCAGTTCCTCTAAAAAGGGAGCCCCATAACACAACTTTAGTAGTTCTTGACGTCGGGACACTTTACTCTGATATTTCAGCAGTTCGATTGAAAGGTTCTGCCAAGAGATGTCACTGGCCACGCCAAGAGCCACCAGATATTTTCTGGCCCTGTTTACCTGGGTCTTGGTCCTGCTTTGCCACATGGCATGTTTAGGGCCTTTGCATGAGTACCAACCACTAGTGCGTACAACCCCTGGGGAACCCCAAACCTTTGAAGATATGAAGTAAAGCCCCCAAACCACAAGATTTCTTCTCCCAGCACAGCCACTTACCTATGACCTTGACCCGCAGGACTTCGCTGACCATTTCATTATGGGAATGACAATTATCCACAATACACTGGTATTCTACATCTTTCATTGGTTTGTCTTTGAATACTGCAGGCTCATTCGAGTTCATGTCACAGCTATCCAAGATGCTATTTCCTTTTAAAAGGTGATAAGAAATAGGTGCAGTTCCATTTACAGATTGGCAACTGACTGCAATGGTCTGTCCTTTTATCACTTCAGAGCTGGAGTCATAAAAAATCCTGGGCGTGGAGAGCATTTCTAGAATGACAGAGAAACAGCTTGAACAACAATGAAGGCAGAAACAAAACATCCAGCCCAAGAGGGTCCTTCTCCAAACTCTGCTCTTTGCTTCTCTGGCTTGACCATAATTACTTGCCTGTCTCACCTACCTTCACAGGACTATTTTAAGATGGACAGGTGATGTGTGTGGGGATGAGGGGAGGATTGGGGGTGACGAGGGAGAGGAGAAGCAAATGCTATAAACAAAAATAAGGGTGACACCAATTTAAGAAAAACATTACATCTTCCTAAATACACGTTTATATGTTTGTACACTCACACATCCGTATGTTGCTGTTGTGTTGAGAAAAGATACAGGAAAAGCATAAGATCTATAACAAGTACCCAAATGGATTCGATTTGAAAACAAATCCTCAGTGCCTCAGCCTTGTTTGAGAGTAAATTGCATGCCTCGAGAAGCAAGAATTCTATTAGGTCCTTATTTATTTATTTATTTATTTATTTTTAAATTTTTATTTATTTATTTGACAGACAGAGATCACAAGTAGGCAGAGGCAGGCAGAGAGAGAGGAGGAAGCAGGCTCCTGACCAAGCAGAGAGCCCGATGCGGGGCTCGATCCCAGGACCCTGGGATCATGACCTGAGCCGAAGGCAGAGGCTTTAACCCACTGAGCCACCCAGGCGCCCCTACTAGGTCCTTATTTAGAAGTTCACTTATTTATAAAGCTTATAAAATGTAAAAGTCCGCCATTGTCTATTACATTATTTCCTTTGGAATTCCATGATGAGAGAGTTGACAAGAAAATACAACCCTGTTTGAGCGGAGACTAAGATCTTGGCTGCATAAAGCACAGCCACAAGTTAAACTAAAGGACAGTGACTGAGTCACAGCAGAGCCTGTGACAGCCTGACCAGAGTTCCACATTTACTTAGACCTCTACTTCAAGGGCGGTCCAGGGCCCAGCATCCCCAAGGCAGGCACTAGTGAGAGATGTGGAATCTGGCTCCATCTCGACCTGCCTTCTAACCAGGTTTTGCATGCACGGTCAGTTCTGGGAAGCATGGCTTTAGGTGGTCCCAGCACCTACATTCTGCCCACCAGAAGACCTAGGCTTGCTTGTCAGCCAGGATATGGATTAAAAAAGGAGGAACTTAGATCCTAAAGTTTGCTATTGAATAAGGAATGTTTCCTCCCTGAGTGGGAGCCTGTTCTAGCAGCCAGAATCTTGCCAGCTCAGCCCCATCATCAGCAAGCAGCCACAATAAAGCCATGAACTTGACTTTTGCCTATGCTTTCCTTGTATTGCCTCCTCCTGGTACTCTGAGTGGGAATACACCCACTTGTTTGGTCTCTTGATTTCACTATTCTCAATTTCTCCCAAGTTCTTCCCCTGCCTCAGTCTGATCTGCCTTCAGCCTGGAGAGGGTGGCAGCTGCTGACAAACAGCCTCTGTCCCATCCCATCCCAAGATTCTCTGAGCCAGTGAGCATGTACCTACCACACACGGTTATCAGGACTGCATTGCTTCTCTTGACCACCCTGCCCACGCTTGCTCTGCAGGTGTATGTCCCACTGTCCCTTGCTGAGGCGATTCTGGTGAAATTTTGAGACTCTGACACAGTCGTGTTTTCCTTCTGGATGGTGAAGTTGGCTGGAGGTGCTCCTGGAATGGAGCACCACAGGTCCAGGTTTTTTCCCTGGTCCAGACGGGTGGTGGAATATTCCAGCTTTGGTTTGGAAAATAGCTCTGAAAGACCAATGAGTGGAAGGGGGTGAGATGTTTCTGGGCACCACTCCCACAGCCCCTTTACAGAGAGAGAAAAGAGAAAATCAGGAAAGGACTCTTGCAGGAAGTTATCCAGAAGCAGCGAAACAGGCCTGGCAGGAAGGAGTACCAGAAATTTCAGGCATTCTGGAACATAGTGGGAGCAGAAGCAGCCACAGGAAGACCTATAGATTTGAAGGATCTTGGGAACCACCTAAAGAAGTGTGAATTGTATCCTAGGGGCAATGGGAACCATGGAGAGTCTGGGTCAGGGGAATGGCATCAGACTGTGTTAGAGGGAGCTATCTGGAGGGAGAAGGGACAGAGTTGAAGGGGCCCAGACTAGAAGCAGGAGGGATGCAATACAGGCTTAAAGCAGAGTGAGAGTGTGAGGTTGGGGAGAAGTGGCAGCTGACCACCATCCCTCCCACACTTCCCACAGAGAAAGAGGACGACGATGACACCTGAAGCCACCCAAGGTTGAATAATTTGTAAACTAGAACATTCTATGCCACTTTAAGGAGTCACCAGTACCGTAATTCAGGTTGAATGTCAACAGCAGTAAAGACAGAAGTTGACTTTTAAGAAGTCTTGGCATCTCCGTGTTTAAATATTCCCTGAAATATATCAAGATCTTGTTGTTATGGAATATGTTTTTATTTTCAGATACTGGGAAATTACTAATTAACTACTTAGCTGCTGTGAAGACTTGGTCCTTTGTGTAAACAAGTGCACTCTGGCTCAGGATTTTGGCTTTTGATACAGAAGGAAGGAGTCAGTAGTTTTTTTTAAGATTTTATTTATTTATTTGAGAGGCACATATGCAAGTGAGTACAAGCAGGGGTTAGGAGGGACAGAAGAAGAAGTAGACTCCCCGCTGAGCAGGGAGCCCTACATGGAGCTCAGTCCTAGGATCCCGAAATCACAACCAGAAAAGAAGGCAGACACTCAACCAACTGAACCACCCAGGTGCCCCAGGAGTCAGTAAGTTTTGACACTATCTGCCTATTGAGAAAGGAACAGAGACCCAAAGTTCCTCCTAGGAAAGCTTCTTAGACTACAGGTTTGAGAATGCAGCCAGGAGTCAGGGAATCAAATTGTACTTTTGATTCTAAATTTACCTGCCATACAGGTTTGGGGGTACAAATCAATGCTGTCATTATCAATGATGTTACATAGCTATAGAAATCATTTCCATCATCATCAGTCCCCAATGCCTTCTAGTTTCCTCAATAAGATCAAATAAAACTTCAAGTAAGGTGGTAGCCTAATAATTAACCTATATTTTATTAAGACACATTCCATCCTTCCTTCCATGTAATCATTGACTTACTTGTTTTCAGAGCACCATCAAAAGCTCTAGGTTAGGAGTGGGGAAAAGGAACCAAAGAGACTGACATCCTAAAATGCCTTACAAACTCATTGGGTGGATATCAAAAAATGTGAAAAAAATGATGTAGCAAGAATCCCAAAGAAATGACTCTCTGTTTAAAAATATGTAAATGAAAATGTGAAAAGTAGAAGCCATCCTGCAGAAGTACATGTAAGATGGTTTAGAATTAGGAATGAAATGTTAGGGAACAATAGTCCATCTGTAAAGGATGTAATATAGCAGACAGGCCCATCACGTAGACTAATCAGAATTAGTCTTTTATTTGCTCACTGAATGAATGTTTATCGAACTCCTACAATGTGTCATGCTCTGTTTTAAGTATCAAATGATATAAGGTGAATTGAGGCCCAGACTTGGTCTTTTGAGAGCTTACGCAGAGTGGCTGTGGCAGATGCTAGATCTTTTCAGGGATTGCTGACTTGAAGATGGGAGCAGAGTGTGGTGGGAACTGAGGTGTGACCATGGGACTCTCCTGGGGGAGGCTCAAAGGAGATCTGGGGCTTGGTCTTTAAAGACAACAGAAGTTTTTCAGTAGCCAAAGGGGAAAGGGTGGTCAGAGTAGGAGGCATGTTGGGACGGGGATGGGGTCAAAGTGAAGGATCATGACCATGCAGGAGTTTAAGTCCATGAATAGTGATATCAAATAGGGGTCATATTAGAAGTGCTTCTCCTACAGCTGGTTGAAGAATGAACTGGAACAGAGATGGTCCAGGACACCCCTGCAATAGATAATCCTGGTGTGAGGGCCAGTGTTAGGATGTGATTACAAAGATAGGAAGACAGGACAGAGTTGAGAGACCAGACAACACCTGGTGACAGATTGGATCTGTAAAGGTGGATAGTTTCAGGGGTGGGGGAGGCAAAGGTGTCATTTCTCCCCAAAGACAAATGACTAATTCAATGACTTTTATCTTCATAAAATTATTGTGAGCTGCTAATATCACTATATAGAGCCATTGACAGTGAGGCTCGATAGTAACAGAAGTGTGGATAACCAGATGTATAAGTGGTCCTGGAGACATTTCCAAAGGCCTAAAAGAACTTGAACGTGAGGATGCATGCCAGCCCTGGTATGGCTCAGTTAGCTCCATGTAGAAAGGGCGGAGGTCAGGATCACAGAGCACTCAGGTTGAAGGGATGGGAAGGGCAGGCTGAGTGTAACACTTTGCTATCTTGGGCCAGGGAGACTGATCTACTGAATGAATTGTATACCCTACATGATACAGACTTCTGGGTGTGGGTGATCACCTACAACAGTAGTATCTTAGGGACCAATGATGCTCTATGCTTTCCTAAAGTAGCTTGGCCCAAAGGGTAGTGGTGCTGCTTTGACTGATGCAAGAGTCAGTTGGTTCACCACTTGGTCCCTGTTGCTCTCATAGCAGTATGCCCACCATGTTATTGTACTTTTTCATGACATTGCATTTGAATGGTCTATTTTTGTCTGTGAATTCTTTTTTTTTTTTTAAGATTTTATTTATTTATTTGACAGACAGAGATCACAAGTAGGCAGAGAGGCAGGCAGAGAGAGAGGAAGGGAAGCAGGCTCCCCGCTGAGCAGAGAGCCTGATGCGGGACTTGATCCCAGGACCCTGGGATCATGACCCGAGCCAAAGGCAGCGGCTCAACCCACTGAGCCACCCAGGCGCCCCTTGTCTGTGAATTCTTTAAGAGCAAAGCTCGACCTTAGAGCTGTCTATCTCCAATAAGTTGCCCAGCATACAGTAGGTACTCAATGTATGTTGAATTGAATACTTTTCTCTAATGAGGTACTATGCCTTACCAGTGAAAAACATCATGTACCATCAAGATATTTGTCATTATCAATGATAAACTGCTAGTACACGCTATAGACCAGCAGGATCCGACACATAGACCAATCACCACATTGGAAAGTTGGCAGCCTACCTGTGATACTATAGATTGTCCCTATGACTCTACATTCAGTGCTTGACACTTAGAAGGCTTTCAGTAAATGAAGGAATGAATGAACACCTTCATTTGGCAACCAAGAAGTGCTGATTCTCTCTGCCCTTAGAGAGGGTAGAGAGAATGTTCATTCATTCCCCCAGCAAATATGTATTGAAATCCTACTATGTATCAGGCACTACTCTAGGAGTTAAAGACATAGCAGTGAATAAATAGGTAATGTCTCTGCTCCCATTGGCTTGCAGTCTAGTGCCTAGATACATACAATAAACAGGAAGAGGTAGAGTATATTTCTTTTGTAATAGGTACTATGGAGAGAAGTAAATCCAGGAAAGGCGAAAAAGAGTCTAATAGAACTTTTAAGTGCATAGGTTTGGAAGTCAAATGGGCCTGGGGATGACTCATTCTGCCATCTGGTAACCCTGTGATTGCAGGGTGAATGACTTAACATCTCAGCCTCAACTTCCATATTCATAAATGCAGGATCATGATAGCTATTTCATAGCTTTGTTACAAGCATTAACTGAAAATGTAGGTAAACCACTCATACCGTGTTCAACAAAAGGGAATTTTTACTATTGTTTTTGAATATATTAATGCTTTCTCACTCCTGACCCTGTCTTAGAACCCGTGTCTGGGATCTAGCCTACAATGTGGCCCAGAGAAAAAATAAATGTGGTATATATCATAATAGACATTCTAGCTCACATTCACCGGGTGCTTCTTCTGTATGAGGTGCTGTATAGCAAGTCACGTCACTTAGTCACTGTAACAGTCCTACAGGTTGAGTGCTATAACTATCCCCATTTCATAGAGTTGTGGCACGGAACAGCTCCATAACTTATGTAAGGTCACCGAAGTAGTGAGTGACAGTGCTGGTATCTGATGCCAGAGGTTCCATGCTTGACCACCACAGCTAACTGCTTACCCACTGTGCACTGACTTTCCCCCTTAAGCATGACACCCCCACCTGAGCACATCATTCAGACAAGCAGGCGCAGAAGCATTGGCCCTCACTGGCCATTTTGCATTCTAGCATGGTGACTGCACAGGTCCGCCTTATTCCCACACCCTCCAGCAGGAGCCCTACCTGTTATGTTGACCACGATGCTGCTGACCTTGGATATCCGGCTCGTTTCCACTTTGCACGTGTAGTTGCCATTGTGCTCCACCATGGCCATCACAGAGTAGGTGGCCTCGCGGCCATGGCTCTTGTACGCTACAATCTCCTTGTCCTTCTGGATTATGATTTCTGGAGACGCTTGAATCAGATGGGTCACTTGAATGGTGCACCTGATGTGAAGCTGATCTCCTTCTGTGATCACTCCTTCGGGGCTGATGTGGAATTTGGGATTAGAGAAGGATTCTACAAGAAGAGGACAAGCTGGTTGGACTCAGGTTCAAACCTGGGGGAGGGGAAGAGGCACTTAGGTCCCTCTCTCTTTTGCTTTTTGTTGCCAACCACTGTTCTTCCTTGTTAATTAAAAAAATTCAATCTTTCCTCCCAAAAACCTCCTAAGTTGCTCCGGTAACTTCTCACTCCTCCCTTCTCACTCATTCTTGCATCTTCGGCCCATTTTTTTTTCTTAAAGATTTTATTTATTTATTCGTCAGAGAGAGACACAGCGAGAGAGGGAACGCAAGCAGAGGGAGTGGAGAGGGAGAAGCAGGCTTCCTTTAGAGCGGGGAGCCTGATGCGGGGCCTCTGATCCCAAGGATGCTGGGATCATGATCTGAGCTGAAGGCAGATGCTTAACAACTGAGCCACTCAGGCACCCCTCATCTTTAGACTTAATTGCAATCCTCCCTTGAGCTTCCCAAAGGTGAAACCACCTTCTCTAGAGCTCATCTGCAGAATCTTCTCCGAACGACCTCAAAAATAATCAGAGCATTAGAAACAGACTCTCGCCCCTGCCCACAGAGAATTGTCTAGGCTCTTCTCACACCACTTCACGGAACTATGGCATCAGTATAAATATTCCATCGCTTTCAAAAGTGACGACTGTGCTGCTTTGTGGAAATGCACATTTAAATAACGATATGCCCCCACACAAAAGTGATTTCTAGTCTCTTCTATTTTTTTTTTTTAGCGTTGGCCTTGACTGACTAAATTGATTTCATGACTCATGCAGTTTGGAAAACACCGCTTTGATAAGGTATGGGCTGGATGCCAGGGCATGGGATCTTCAGGAGCTGGTAAGAAAAGTAGGGACAAACCTTTGCTTCTGCAAAACGAATTGCAGAGCGTTAGAGAATGCACACAGATCGCCAACTATGCAAAATCAGATGGGACATTTTAAAATGCCCAAAGTAGATTTAGAGTGATATACTTTAATTCATTAAACTTTTTTACTGCAAAGTCATCTAAATTCACAATAAGTAACTATCATTAAAAAAAAAAATTAGTCTGGGGCGCCTGGGTGGCTCAGCGGGTTAAGCCTCTGCCTTCGGCTCAGGTCATGATCTTGGGGTCCTGGGATCGAGTCCCTCATTGGGCTCTCTGCTCAGTGGGGAGCCTGCTTCCCCTCCTCTCTCTCTCTGCCTGCCTCTCTGCCTACTTGTGATCTCTCTCTGTCAAATAAATAAATAAAATATTTTAAAAAATAGTCTGTTTTCCTGAATAAAAGTCAAAAAAGAGAGGCCATCTTTTAGGACACTCAACAACTACCCTCTGGAGGAGCATAATAATCACTAAAGGGTTTTTTTTTCTTATATCTTAATTAATTCCAGATGCACCAGAGATCTAAAGGCAGGAAATAAAAAAACATTAAAATAATAAGAGCAAATATAAGTGCATTTTTACTTCAGTAATTTTTTTAAGGATTTATTTATTTATTTGTGAGAGAGGGAGAGAGAGAACAGGGAGGAGAGGTGGGGAGGGGGGGGGCTTGATCTCACGATCCTGAGATCACAACACCAAGATCATGACCCGAGCTGAAACTAAGAGCCAGTTGCTTAGCCTGACTGAGCCGTCCAGGTGCCCCTAATTTAATAACCTTTAATAAGGTTCAGGTATGAATCATGAAACAGATGCCAAAAAGAAAAAGATGGATAGATTCAATTAAATAAAGATGAAACACTTCTGCATGCAAAACTTATCATAAAGACAAATGATGAACTCGGGGAAATTTGTGCATAGCACTCCAAAAAGAGCTAATAATGCCTTTCATTTATAAAGGACTCAAACAAATCAATCAGAAACAGTAAAAATGGGCCAAGTGTATATGAACGGGCAGTTTATGGAAGGAAATGTGAGAGGCCAATAAACGCAAAGAACACACTCAACCTCAGTAAAGACCAAAGAAATATAAAGCGTAAGAACAGTGATATATCACTGTGCCTCAATCAGACTGGCAAAAATAATGAAAGTAGATAATACTCTGTGAGAGTAGGGATGTGGGGAAACAAACACCAGCCTCGCTTTTGATGGAAATGTTCAACCATTTTGAGAAGCGCTTTGGCCATACACGTCAATATTTCAAATGCACAAAACATTTGAATCAACAATTTGACTGCTAGGAATCAACCTCAGAAATAATAATGAAACAAAATACTTGGGAAAGTACCCAAATGATGAGTTTAAGAATGTGTATTCCAGCTTTGTTTTAACCGCAAAAACCTGGGAAAATATCTAAATGTCTATCATTGGAAAAATGAGATAAATCATGGTTCCTCTCTAGGATAAGGTTCTGAGATGCCACAGAGAATGACCAAGGTCTGTCTGTCTTGACACAGACTCAAGTCCATAAAATACTGCTAAGGAAAAGTCATAAAATAGTATGTTTGGCAGGTTGTATTTCTTTGTCAAAACAAAGAAGAACACAATAAAAGTTGTGTGTGTGCGTGAGCACATAAAGCAGAACAAGACTGGGACTGTACAAGTGATTTCTCTGAGCAGTGGTGCTGTGAATGATTGTCACTTTACCCTTTATATTGTACCCTATTTTCTGAAAACTAAACCCACACCATGTATTATAATCAGAAAAATATTATATATACATACTATCATCCCTGTATATATTTGGACATATACCCATACACAATGGGGGGTGACACAGATACCACAAGCAGGAGGGTATTTATGACAAACCTTGGGGTTCCTATAGATAAGACTTAAGGCTATCTGCACTAGAGTGTGCCTTCCCTCGACTCTTCCTGGCTCGCGAGTCCTGTCCCATCCTGCGGGCTGCCTGTCCCAGGGCTCCCATCATTCTGGACATGCATATGCAGGCTTCCCTCTGTTAGGGCTTTTCTCTCTAGAGAGCACGCCTCAGGACACCTCATTGGTTTATTTGTCCAAAATCTCGGTGATGAGGGGTGGGTAGAAGAGGGGAGTCCTTTATCAAATGTGGGAGGCAAAGGCTAAGGACCTGGACGCCCTTCCCTCCAGATCCCCTCCAGACTCCACCTTCTGGTGTCTGACCCGTGTTGGACTAAAGCTGTGGTTTCCACAGTGCATCGCGTTTCCCTGAGTCGTGACCAGTGTTTTTAAAAAAAACTGAAGTAGAGGGGCGCCTGGGTGGCTCAGTGGGTTAAAGCCTCTGCCTCTGGCTCAGGTCATGATCTCGGGGTCCTGGGGGTCCTGGGATCAAGCCCCAGGTCGGGCTCTCTGCTCAGCAGGGAGCCTGCTTCCTCCTCTCTCTCTTCTTGTCTCTCTGCCTACTTGTGATCTCTCTCTCTCTGTCAAATAAATAAATAAAATCCTTAAAAAAAAAAAAACTGAAGTAGAATGGAACAGAAAATACCAAAATGCCCCATATATCGAGATGATTTGTGAAACTTTTGTTTGGGAAATTTCTCTCTCTCTCTCTCTCACACACACACACGTTAAACTAAACATAATCTTTAGGTGGTTAAGAACAGTCTTGAGAACAGCAGCCCAGCCCAGAAGGCCCCTGCCCGCTTCCGGAATTCTGGGCCCTTTCTTCCCACCCCCAACCAGCAAACCAGAAAGAGTGATTTTTAAAAAGGAGGGTAGGACTCTGACCTGTCACGGTGACCAGTTCACTCCTGATGATTCTCGAGAGCTCCATGCGGTTCTCAGAGAAGATGGTGGCCTGGCACTGGAAGTATATAACATGGTCCTGCTCCTCTACTGAGAATTCCAGCAGCACAAAATTCTGCTCATACGTTTTTTTTTTTCTTTTTTGCTTGAGACCGTTTGTGTGTAGTTTGAGTTTTTCAATTGTGAAATGTATTGGGGGCTTTTCTTCTGGGACAGAACAATTGACCATCACGACCCCGCCTTCTATTGCCTCTTTCTTGTCCAGTATCACTCTGGGATCAGACACTCCTTGGGGAGAAGAGAAAGCCCATTAGTATCATTTGCTGTAGATATGCAAGCTTCCTTCAGCTGGGAAATTCAGCCCATTGGAGCGTCTTCTGCTTTGTTTCTAGAACCTCAGCGCTACCTACCGGGTAATTATTGAGCCTGTATGTGCCTAGAGCTATAACAGTTACTTTGAAAAATATCAGATATGTTTAGAGGCGGTTGGTGCTTTCAAAGTTTATAAACCCATTGGGAAGACTAGTCTTCTCAACTGATAAATACAATTACAGACAAAACAAAACAGCCAGTATCTATTAGAAAGTACTCCCCTGCTTCATGCTGATCTCCCCAAAGGAAGGGGTCATGTCTTCCTCATTTTTGGGTTCTTGGCTTGGCTCAGAGCGGGACTCAATAAATATTTAATGAATGAATGAATGGCCTTTTGTCTACCTCAAAAACCAATAATGATTAAGAGTTAGAGAGGCCAATTTTGGAGTCCAAGAGATCTTGGTTCTAACCAGCTTTGCCTTGGAGCAACTCCAAGGCATGAACATGCCGCTCAACCTCTCTGAGCCTGTGACTGCCCCTGGAAATGTTTGGGTTGGGGGGGGACCATGTTTGGCTCCCAGTGCTACTGCAGGGGTTAAATAAAATGTGTGTAAAGCACTTCTAACTGTTGACTTCATGAGGGCCTAATAAGGGGGCAGTTCTTACAATGACTGCTCTGATGACCAACATGAACACAAAAATGCAGAAATGACAGTCATGGCGGCCGCTGTCAAGGAAGTACAGGGCTCACCTCACTAACTCTACCCATTCAACCACCCAAGTTTAAAAAACAATTACCCTAAGTTTCAAAAGCCTGCCAGCAGGTTTCTTTTCAACAACATTCCCCAAATTCAGCCCTGCCAATCTTTCTCAGCCTTTGCTCTTCCACCCATGCTATGTTCCACGTCTCTGCCCTTGCTCAACTTCACCATCGAGCAAACTCCTATGCGATCCTCTGTATCTGGACCCAATGTCCCTTCTTCCAGGAAACCAGCCCTACCTTCTCCAAGAGGAATTGTTTCCTCTCACTTTTGTGCTCCCTAAGGCACTCAGATCATGTGACTATTAGACTCTAATTATTCTTGTAAATGTTTCTCTTCCCCACCAGACAGCAACTGCCTCCAGGGCTGGCCCTGACCTGATGTTTTTTCATGCCTTGCATCTGGTTTTCTTCCTGACTTTCAGCCTTGGGAAATGCTCCTTGAGGGAGGAAATCCATGAGTGGATGGATGGAGTCCTCTATCTCTGAACCCAAATTCCCCACGATTTCCCTCGTTTCTCCATGTGTACCTCCCTTTTTCATCTGTTTAATTTATTCCATGATCATTATTGAGTGCCTACTATGAGCCAGATTCTTTGTTGGAGATACAAAAAGGGACCAAACCCCATCTCTTTCCTTGTGATCGCACATTCCAGAAGAGCAGACGGGTGTGCGAGAAATGCTTCCAATACCATGAAATAGTAATTGCCATTTACTGGGAATTTATTATGTGCTGGAAATTATACTAAGCACTTCACCTACGAGATGTCTTTTAATCCTTCCAATAACTCCCCGAGCTGGGGATTACTGTGATCTTCATTTCACAGAGGAGAATTTTAAAGTTTAGAGAGGCTGAGGGACTTGCCCAAACTGGACGCCAGGCAGAGTGAACACAGCAGCCAGGGTCAGCAGTCAGCATGTGGCCTTTCTACAAATACCACTGGATGCTGAGATTGCATAAGAGCTGTGAGCACCAGGACCCTGGGGGCGATCGGTTTTGCTTGGGAAGGTGTCAGAGAAGAGACTGCTAAGCTGCCTCTTAAAGGAGGAAAAGCAGTTGGTAGGGACAGGAGGGAAAGATGGGTATTCCCAGGAGATGGACTAGCATATGCAAAGGCACGGAGAGGAGAGACAGCCTGGCATATTGAGAACATGTCTAAAGCCCACATTTTCAGGTTAGGAAAATGCCAGGCAGGGGAGTGGGAGGAGTGGGGCCAGGGTTACCGGCCACTCGATTACTCTTCTTGCCTTCACATCTGCTATAATGCATCAGCTCGAGCTCCGCTCAAATGCGGGGACTCACCTTTCACCCACACCTGATACTCCGAGGTGGTTTTCTCCTTGTTGTTGAGAATCACGGTGCATTTATATGTCCCTGCATCATAGACCCGGGCTTGGGGAATAAAATAACTCTCGGTGGTGTCCACGGAGGAGACGTTGTGAAACAGCACGTCATCCTTATAGAACAGGACCCAGTGCTGAGGCTTGATGTGCGAGGTGGTGCTGATGTCCACGACACACTGCAGGGTCAGGTTCTGCCCATTTTGCACCTCCTGGCCTGGCAGGATCTCCATGTAGATGTGGTTGATGGTGAAAGCTAAATGCCAAGGGAAGGAGAGCAGACACACCTGTTATCTCAGGAACATCGCCGTGGTGTCCTTGACCACATCAGACTGGTATGATCATACCCTCTGCAGTGTAGCCTCCAGGGGCCCCTGGGCCCCAGCGACCAGGCAGCCAGTGGCTATGTGTAGTGCCCATTCTCGAGGAGGCCATCTCTCCAACATCAGGACCTGGGGTTGGGAGCTACTGTGTCTGGTGTGCTTCGTGAGCCTCCTGTCTCATCGGCTTCCAAGAAGTGTGAATAGGACAATCATGAGATTAGAAACATTTTATTGAAACATGTAAGTGGCCAGTGCAGTCAAACGTTTCCAAACCCCCAAAGGCAGAGGATATGATGTCTATGTGAAAACCCCGAAGAGGCTACGGATAGGCATTATTTGAAATAATGCACGTTGAGAAAGGCAGAGGGAGATCATAAATATAAAAAAATCAGGATAGTGGTCACTTCTGAAGGGAAGAGGGGGATACGACTAGGAATACGCAGAAAGATATAGTGTTGGTGATGTTCTCATTTTAGCACTGGGTGGCAGGCTCACGTGAATTCATTATGTTACTAAAATCATGTCTCTATAAATAAAACAAAAGGCAACTGTGCATAGATCACAGATGAAGGTATGTTATGAGCCAAGAATTATAATCAATCCAGTTCTGTGTCCCTGAGGTCCCAAAAAGAGAATGTATTTTCTGTATGAGGAAAAGATACAGGGTAAAGTCTCTTTCCCATTCTTTTCCGGTCCACCCAGTTCCCACCTCCCCTTGCAGAAGTAAGCTCTGATTTTCGTTTCTTCCAGCTCATCTTTATACAACTATAAGCAAATACAAAGATAAATTCTTACTTATTCCCCCCAACCCCACAGCTTTTACACAAGAGGTAGATTTCCACAGGCAGAGTCTGGCATCTTACCTAAAGTTTGTATGGCCCATGAGGACTTCAGGGGCCAGAGACAGTGTGGAGCTGTGGGCACCCTGTGTTATTCAAGCAAAACAGGGCCACGTGGCTTAAGTAAGACTCCTAAAATTCAGTTCTTCTCAGATACTTTGATCACAAAAATATTCATGGGCTGTGCTTGATGAATGTATATTTATTGGGTATCCTGCATACCCTGAATCTCTTTACCCTGGGACAGAGGAAGATCTTCAGAAACCTGCAAGCTTGGACCACTCGGCTATCGTCCCTTATGGCCTGGTACTAACAAATTAAGTTTGGCCCTCTATCAAAGGATGCTGTTAGGTAGGGACTGAATTGCGTCCCATCCCCGCAATACACACACACACACACACACACACACATATACACACAATGTTCGTATACTGAAAACCTAGCCCCTCGTACGTCAGATAGTGATTGGGCTTGAGCAAAAGGCCTGTAACGAGGTGACTGAGTTAAAATGGGCCTTAATCCAAACTGACTGGTGTCCTTATATAAGAAGAAATTTGGACAGAGAGAGAGAGAGAGAGAGAGAGAGAGAGGGACGTGTGTACAGAGGGATGACCATATGAGGACACAGCAGCAAACAGCCATCTGAGAGCCAAGGAGGGAGGCCTCGGAAGGGACCAAACCTGCTGACATCTTAGTCTTGGACTTCCAGCCTCCAGAACTAAGAGGAAATGAATTATGTTGTTTTGGCCACCCAGTCTGTATTAGTCTGTTTTGGTAGTCCTAGGAAACTAATAGATGCTGGTGAGAAATTGTCTTATGGAAACTGATATTGTCTGGTCAAGGATGCCACGAGGATGTTGTTCATGATTTCACTGGGTTTCAACTGCATCAGCAAATGCTATGTTTAGGGCACCTCGGTGCCTCCATCGGTTAAGCGTCTGCCCTCAGCTCAGATCATGATCTCGGGGTGCTCAGATTGAGTCTCTCATTGGGCTCCCTGCTCAGCGGGGAGTCTGCTTCTCCCTCTGCCCCTCCCCCCCACCTGCTCATCCTCTCTCTCTCTCTTTCAAATGAATAAACAAAGTCTTAAAAAAAGAAAAAAGCTGTGTTTATTCTTTCTATCTTGTAGATTCTGAAATTTTTCTAATGGATCTTGTTTTCATTTTTGCTTTGACTGCTAAGAAGTATAAACCCAAAATTTCACCTCTGCTTCTAGCAAACTTTGCAATGAATTTCTGTATGCTAAAAGAACCCCCCAGTTTTATTTGCCTGCCTTTACTTCCTTCCCATTCTGATTTTCTCCTATTGAACAATAATAGTAATTGTTGTAAGTGGTCCCAAATTATTTTTCAAGTAAGAAATGGTAGAGCTAGCTAGCTGGCCAGAGATACTGGCAAAGATTGTCTTTCTTTCTCTCTCTTATTTATTTATTTATATTTTTAAAGATTTTTTAATTTTTTATTTGACAGACAGAGATCACAAGGAGGCAGAGAGGCAGGCAAAGAGAGGGGGGGAAGCAGGCTACCCGCTGAGCAGAGAGCTCAATGCAGGGCTCGATCCCAGGATCCTGGGATCATGACCTGAGCCCAAGGCAGAAGCTTTAAACCACTGAGCCACCCAGGCACCCCTCTTTCTCTCTCTTTTAATAAAGCCAAATCTTTCGGAACAATTTAGAATTTGCTTTGGCTACAATATGTCTCAGGTTTTAAAATGAATACAACAGTCCACACCTGTCCTTTTCTTCTGAGCAATTAAATGAACAAAAAAAAAATGGCATCTGATCAGTTGACAAGATGAAGCAAAGTGGTTGTTTAAATGCAAGTTATTTCCTGTAGCATTAATGCTTAAAACTCCCTTTTCTTTGTTTTTGTCTATTCCTTACTAGTTCCTGGTCTGAGGAGCTGCTCAGTGAGCTCTCAAAACAAAATCTCTTTGGACCATATTTAGTTTCCCATCAATTAATTTTGTCCCTTCCCAGGTAAGGACAGGTAGTCTCACTCCCCCCTTCAGTACCTTCTCCTCATTTTAAACCATGCTATTTAGCACAGTGATTCTAACAGGAGAATAAGGTAAGTGCAGAGTGAGGTTGCCTTGGTCAAATCCCACCTCCGTTCACAAACTGTGACTTTGGCCAGTTCCTGAACTCTGAGCCTCATCCATACAACGGACATAATAATAGTAAGTATAAATGGGAACCCGAGTTTAAGTACTAGAAACACAGTTCCTGGCACAGAAGAAGTGCTTGAGAAATGTTAGCCAGGTTCTGCCAGTCACAGATACAGAGCCAAACTTTAGTCTCGAGGGTGCCGAAACTCTGCATCCATTCCCTATTTCTAGCAAAATTTTTTCAAAAGAAAACCGTTTCTTAATTTCCCAGGTTACTGACAGTGACTTCTCCAGACTTTCTGGGGTTCATCACCCTACTTTATTAGGCTGCGTTCCTGTCCTCATGCTGGATGAAGTACACACCCGTGGCTGGTCAGGCCCCAGACTGGGACCCAGGCCTGGCTACAGGGAGAAAGCTAGTTGGGCACACCTGGGTCCACAGCCATTAGCTGGGGGATGCTGGGAGTCTCTCAACCCCTCTAAGCTACCACTTCTCCTCCTATAGAATGGGGAACATTAGTACCTGCCTTCCCTTGTCTTTCAGCCTTGAATAATGACTGAGCCAAGGGAGCCGAGAGCCCTGAGGGGCAGAGCCTGGTCCCCAGTTGACAGTCCCTTCCCTCTTCCTTAGCACCATTCGGCCCATGTTCCAAGGGCTTTCTCTGTGCTAGGCACTGTGTCCAATACTGGAAGCTCACAAAAGAGTGAGATCAGCACGGTCTTTGCTCCCCTGGAGCTCACCATCTGCAATCCCAAGCCTTCTCTATTCCAGACCCTCCAGCCTCAGCATCGTCCCTGCCTGGGCTTCCTACTGACCAGACGTAATGCATATCTTTGTTACAGGAGCCCTAAAGCAAACCAGCTAAAGCATCAGGTGGTGTTTCTTTCAAAAGGATGAGAGCCACTAGCACAGGGCACTCCTGCCAACTCCTTTTTCTAAGCCACAAACACACATCTGCTTAATAAATCAACTCAGCCTAGTCACTGGAAGAAACGTCACACTCCCGTGGCCAACGGCAACAGACAAGGGGCAAGGAAGGCAAAATGGAAGAAGGAAAAGCATTTTATAAAATGTATCAATAGGGACGCCTGGGTGGCTCAGTTGGTTAGGCGGCTGCCTTCGGCTCGGGTCATGATCCCAGCGTCCTGGGATTGAGTCCCACATCGGGCTCCTTGCTCAGCAGGGAGCCTGCTTCTCCCTCTGCCTCTGCCTGCCACTCTGTCTGCCTGTGCTCATGCTCTCTCTCTCTCTCTCTCTCTCTAACAAATAAATTAAAAAAAATGTATCAATAAATTTATTGTAAATTTATGAAACCCAGCTCTCTGACTAGCACAAAACCTCATCGATGTGAGGCCAGCAAAAGCAGTGGCCCAGCCTTCAACACCACCACCGTCCCCACCTCCATGTCCTCGCTCATGGTAGCCAGACTTCAGATGGCCCCCGGGGAGGCTCCTCTTCCTCTAGTCCTACGGGCACCTTGCCACCTCATACCAGGGTTGGTCTTCCAACCAAACACACTGAAGTGTTACTTTGTTGCTTCTGAAATGATAAAAGACGTGGCAACTTTTGCCTTGAGCACTTTTTCCTTTACTAGGATCACTCCCTCTGGGCCAAGTCATGAGTGTCCCTCTGGAGGGGCCCACGTGGTGAGGAGCTGTCACGAGAGTGAGCTTAAAAGCAAACCCCCAGCCCCAAACAAGCCCTCTGTTCACTGTAATCCTGACGAGCATCATTCTCTGGGCGATCTCCTCCTGACAGGCCCTGAGCCAGAGCTCTCAGGTTCCTGACCCTCAGAAGCTGTGAGGTAAAAAACCGTTATCTTGAGCCACTAAATTTGGGGGTAATTAGTTCAGCAACAATATGCCACCCATCTCATCTTCAAAAATCTCTACCCGATTGTTAAGATAGTATAGAAAACATCGTCGTCTTTGTGAATGAATCATTGGGGAACAGCCAAGCTGGATTGCTGTGTACAGCTCTCACAATT